GGCTACAGATTGAAAACGTGACAGAAAATTGGCGTTACTTTCGATTCTCACCAAATTTGGACAGTGGGAAGATCTCATCATTAGCCAATTACAGACCATTTTTCAGCTCTTTTCGTCACATCGTCCCCCCTCGGGAGAATTTTGTCAAGTTAGCTATTTTAGTATGCAAGCCACCGTAATGGTGGTCGCTGTTGGCGAAATGTTTATTTCAGGGGCACCCAACGGATCGTTTCGGTAAAGCACGTATTTCAGCGATTTTCCTTTTCTATAACAATTACAAATTAGAGCTGAAAATGAGCTAAAGTGACATTGTCACACCAGCGTAGACAATGTCGATAGCACATGAAAAAATACTGCAAAAATGTGGCTTTCCTTGTAATTTACAGGCTGTATTGGGCTCGCATGGTATTGCGGTAAAATGTACAGCCACCATCTTTTTTTCCTAGGAGGATTGCACACTAATGGTCGATAGTGTACCAAACCTCAGCCAGTAAGATTGCAGCATTTGTCTCAGCAAATGTAGAATTCAACGCGTATGACTTTTCCTTTACGTGCGTGACACGTTATATTAAAAATTTAACTCCTTTATAATCATGTGATTCGTCGTATAAGATTTGACAATTCTCGTTTTTCAGTGCGTATGCCAAGCATCGGGCTGGTTTAGTTGAGTTCAATCAGTTATAAACTTCAATTCAAACAGTTCACATCAGTAAGACTGAGTATCTGTAAGTTTCTAGCCTTTGTCTTTTTGATTCTTTTTGCCAATTTTTGTTTAAAATTATTGTAGCCCTTTGAGTCGAACCAACATCACCGCATCATTCGACCGGATGCGTTCGAATACATCTAATCAAAAGTGAGCGTAGTATAAATTCGTTTTCTTTCACCTCTCGGTTTGATGTCTTTAGCGTACAAGTAGAAGACTACTAATTATATTTGTCTGATCCATCTTCAGGGACGGCTTATGACCTTGGCAGAAGCATAAATGGCTTTCAGTGACAAAAGAACGCGGAGAAGGCTTCGAGGCATGGACTTGTTAAAACTTGCCTTGGTTGTAATCACTTTTTCGGGTGTTTATTTATTTATGATGGTACATGACATAGAAAATCCTCACATTAAGGCTGATATGTCCTTACCAAGAAACTTTGAAGCTGAATTGCAGTGGAACGACTCGTACTTTGAAGGAATGGGCAAAACACAAGAAACTTCCGATCATTTGGAAAACGACGATACGTTCCAAGATCTGTTCAATTTTGATTCAGATTATGCAGAGGAAATTAAACCTACATCTAAACCCACATTCCAGCTTAAATCCAACTTTAGAAAACGACGTAGTGTATCTAAGTCTGTGGGCGGCGGTTCCAAGACGAAGATTCAGTTACACGGACGAGGAAATTCAGATTCTCGAAACGTATCTGTGTTTCAGCTTGATTCCCAACGACAATCGTTGCCGATTGACTCACAACGTTCCTCCTCCAATCTTCGGAAATCATCGGATTCTGAACGACAGCCCGACACGATGAAATCTATCAACGATCACCCGCCGACAAGTTTGCGGAAGGAATTAGAACGTCCTAAACAACACTCACCAAATCTTCAGATGGAACCGGAAGAGACAGAACAACAGTCAGAAACAATAAACTTGTCCAATGATGAAACCACTAAGTTGGAACCATTACACTTTTCACAAGATGAAGAAACACCTAAGAAGGGACAAATTCAAGAACCATATTTACCGGAATCTCAGACTAACTTTCACCAACAAAAGATAGAGAAAATCCCTTCCTTGAGTCAGACAAAGAACTCCCCGACTGATAGGGATTTAACTATTCATGAAATCGATCTTGATGAATCGCAAGAAAACTCTAACTATCGCTCTCTTGCGGAGAATCAGAGTTTAGACTTTAAGGATAAGTCAGGTCGAAAGACTAAATACGATGGTAACTCTAAAGGATCTATGTCAGAACTGGAACCGCTAAGTATTCATGATCAAAATAACATCACATTGAATGAGTCTCAGCAAGCAAGACCCAACCACGAACAGGACTCGAGCAAAGTGGCTTTGAATCAACAAAGTAAAATTACCCATAATAAACAGCATTCCGATCCACTTCCGAAGACATCTTCGGAGAAATCAAGATCCGACTCCGAACAGGACTCAAGCAAAGTGGCTTCAAATCACCAAGGTAAAACGACTCCACAAATTACCGATAATGAGCAGGACTTCGATCCACGCCCGAAGACATCTTCGGAAAAACGAAAAAGTCTTCTTATCTTTGGCGACGATCGTTCCGGGACGACATTTATAACTAAAATGTTTGCAGCAGATCCGCAAATGTTCACAGTGTATGAACCATTGTGGGTTACAAAGAAATGGTTCTCCCAGCTTCAAACAAGAGATCTTAAGAAAACTCAATCTACAAGAGACGTAGTGAATGCCTTGCTATCTTGTCAATTCACCCGTTCAATGGCAGGGAAAAAATTTCTTGCTTCCACTGCAAGCTCTTGGGTTGGTAACGGGGTCTTCGAGAAAAACGTGTTTAGAACATACCCCTTCGCAAAAAAAACAACATCAGGACGAGCCACTTGGCCTAATCTTTACCAGAATCCAAAATTCGCAGAAGAGGTTTGTCTTAACAAATTTAACCACAGTGTTGTCAAGGTGGGACAGGTTCGAGTTCCTCTCGAAAGCATCTCAGTTTTTATCCCGAATGTGTTTGTTGCGAATCCAGACACGGACATCCGAATTATTCAAATCGTGCGCGATCCTAGAGGAAGCATAAACTCGCGAATAAAAGCTGGTTGGATTTCTGATTTCACCTACACGGGATTTCCTGCACTAGTGGGTAGGATGTGCGCGAAAATTGAAGCGAACATAAGGTTTGGTAGACGGTTAGAGAATGCGGCGATGAAAGAACGGTATATGGAGATCAACTACGAGGAAATTACTAGTATGCCTATAACAACAGCTAAGAAAATATACAAATTTGCTGGCTTCGAAATGCCTGATAGTTTAATTGACTGGATTGTGCAAAGCACGAATCCAGATGAAAGGCAATTGCAACAAGCTTTGAATAACCCATTTTCTCACGTGAGAGATGCTAGAAAGAATTACCTCAAGTGGCGCAGTGAATCTCCGATAAAGCGTGTTCGAGTCATAGAACAGCGATGTAAGGCTCTGTTAGACTTACTTGGACTTGATGCAGTTGCCGATGAAATGGAAACGTTATGTTCATAGCTGTAGGCACTGGGGCGAAGAAAATTAAACCAATCACCATCCCAGGCCCTCTCCTTCACTCTCTCTTCCTTGCGTCTCAGGGGCGCGGGCGGAAACTGATTGCTGGAAACCAGTCTTCGAATTTCCATCAAGGTCGGAAGGCATATCGGGATTGAATGTAAAAGCAGTTATCGCCCGGTGGTCAAATGGTTAGTGCCCTTAACTCCGGATCGAGTAGTTTGGGTTAGAGCTGCGGACGGGATCACTGTGTTGTGTCCTTGCACAAAACGCTTTACTCTCACAGTGTCTTTAAGGGTAAAGAAAAGTCTGTATACAAGCCAAGTGGCGCCCATCAGGCCGGCGCTTATCCATGATTTCTGTAGCATGAAGCGACTAAAAGGAGTATTCGACCCTACCCCCCCCCCCCCGAATGGGATGCTAGTCCATTGCGGGGTTGCCCCGAACATTAAATTCGCCTGTGCTCGCAGTGGCGAGAGGCATTGTGAGAGTAAAGTGTCTCCTCGACAGAGCTAAAGTGGGAGACAACCTGAGCAGAAGCAGGAACCAATCTTCACATTCAAGCGAAGCCTCAGTGCCATAAACATTTAGTTCTCAGTGATCAGTTTTGTTGTGATTCAAATGAACTTGCATATATATAACCCGGTGAAACACACAAGCAGAAAAGGGCGTTAGATATACACAGGAGTGGTTCCTGTACATCTCTTCATGCAGTTTCGGAGAGGATGCAAAACTATTATAGTAATTTATTAAGTCATCCTCTATAATTAACTGAAATATGAAATAGTGTAAGTGAAACTCTATTAAACAGAAAACGAGAACAATTTAAAATCAGATTGTAAAAATGGTATTTACGCAAAACGAATAAAGGTATTCATATATTTGTTTATAAACAGATATGAATTCAAACTTAACCTTTACCTTATCTATTATCTACTGAATTCGGACTGTCAACCTATGGTGATCCTTTTTATCTATTGGCTGACGTAGCGCATTCAAATTTATCTATATATGTCAAGAGACTATTCATTTATACATTTTTATCTTAAAGGAACTCAATCACGGTGTTGAAAGTTATTTTGGCCAGGTACAAAATTACTTTTAAATTGAAGGAAACCTTAAAATACTAGTTCACTAAGATACAAAAACACCAAAGAGATAAATAATAATAAACCATAAAGAAACAACGATGGATGGAGAAGATTAACACGGATTACAAACGACGAACTTGAAAAATTTAGGCTTAGGTTCACAAGATGCAAAAACCGTGACTTAGCTCCTTTAACACACCGAATTGTCGATAAAATGTGACAATAGAATTAAAAAAAAAAGAATAAAAATAAAGGACTATTTTTATAAATCGCAGTCTACAGCTGCACTGAAGAGTTTATGCCTTTAATACAGTGGGGTTAGTGTTAGCCGACTATATGTATTTTAGTAAAATGCCAATAAAACAGAGCATGGTTATTGCATGCAGCCTAGCGTAAAGCAGAGTTTCCTCTGTCGTGTATATTTTAAACGAACTTACGCGTGAAAAATGAAACAAAGCAAATGTGTGGACTGCCTGTGTCTGCGGACGAATTTTTCCGCAGATCAGGAGTTCTGCGTCTGTTCTATTTTGTTTCACGTCCATTTTTTTCTAAACGGGGACGCCGGGGTAAGGAGGCAATAGCGCTTTGCCTCCCCCTCCGTTTTACGCCTGCTACACAGGATAATTTTTTTCCAGAGCGCTACGTTTGTTGACCAGGGCCTTTCAAATCTTACGGCTAACTTCACTGGGCTCCGGAGAACACATCAAGGCCTGGAAGTGCAACAGAAGGCACTTTCGACAGTATGGATGGGAGACAAAGCTCTGGAACTCCTAGTTCAGTTCCAGAACTCCCGCTTGCCCTCGCATTCTACTTAAAATTTATATAATAATTCAAATTATTCTCGCATTTTGATTGGTTCTTGCTTATGATCTATTGGAGGACAGACTCATAGTTGACGTAATTAACAAACATTAATTTTAGTTTCTTTATTTACAAATAAAACAAGTAGATTCCATGCTACCATTCCCCTGATCAGAAATAGATTACAAATGACGTCAAAATGTGGTAAGAACAAAAAGTGGCACACGAGGCAATAGCTGAGTTTGTCACTTCAATAATTTGCAGATTAAGGATTTTTGAGAAATAACTTTTTTTATTGTAAACTGTTCCAGGTTACAAAGACGGTTACAAATTAACTTCAGATTTCTGTACAAACACTCAAAAGTGAAACTTTTTCCGAGAGGGAATGGTAATTCCTCGCCGAGGGTCTGGAATAGACTAATCCCGTAACTCTCCTGAATTTTTTTCAAAATGGCGGACGGATGCTAAGTTTTTTCGATTGTATGAAATGTGAAACTGATCGACAAGGAAATGGCGGAAAAGTTCTATTCTGTAGTGTTATGTGTTCTAGCTGCTGTTCTTATTCGTTGGTGTGTGTCGATTAGTTCATATTCAGGTAATTTTCTAAGAAAAATGATCGAATTTTCACGTATTATCAGCTGAGGCTTGAAGTGAACGCCAGATTTTATTGGATCGGATGGTTATTATTATTATTATTATTATTATTATTATTATTATTATTATTATTATTATTATTTTTATTTATTTATTTATTTTTTTTACAGGAAAAGGGAAACCACCGATGTTTGGAGATTATGAAGCGCAGAGGCACTGGATGGAGATAACTTACAATCTGCCGGTTGATGAGTGGTAAGCTCATCAAAAGCGATCAGATCTAATATTCTCATTTCCTTTTTAGGACAAATCCAAGTATAAAGGTTAAAGAAAGATTGAAGATTAACAGTATCTGGATTTCAAACTCCTAGAGACACCCCGATATACTAGGGAACCTTTTCAGAAGAACCCAACATTGTGTGGTTTCAGAAAATATCCATACTCCCACCACGGAGGGAATTGGAAATTCCAGAGGGAAGAGGGGTCTTAGGTGAAATTCCCTTCGTTGTTGGGGGTATTGATATTTTCTGGAACTACACATTGTCAATCCGTTTTCGGTTTGTAGCAGGTGATGACAGTTTCTTCACATACGAGTGCAACAGGCAACCCCAATAAGAAGTTGTCAGTCATGAACGTTTTAACTGTTCGTTGATCCTCAGGTACACTAATACAACTAACAATGACTTGATGTACTGGGGCTTGGATTATCCACCTCTGACTGCTTATCACAGTTGGATTTGTGGATTTATGTGAGTAATTTGACTTAAAAACATGAATAGTTCAAACTTCAGTGCATGATCAGTGAATAATTTAATTCTACACTTTGCCTTCAGTCTGTTTATACAGTGGATCCCTGTTAATCTGGTCACCAATGGGTCACAAAAATCTTCTTGGATCCCTTTTTCATTTTTATCTCCCAAAACCTAACTGCTATTTAATATTTCTAACTGGATGACTTTTTGATCAGGCGTACAAGTACAGATGTTAGACCTTTCATTTCAAACTTTCAACTTTTGTTGTTTATCTCACAGAGCCAACAAGATAAATCCAAACTGGGTTGCACTTAAAAAATCCAGGGGACATGAAAGCCTGGAACATAAGTTGTTCATGAGATACACAGGTAATATCATGACATATATGTTTCAGATAGATTTAACAATACTAGAATATGAAATATTACTTTACCCAGTAATATCATTTGTCAGTTGAGACAGACAAAAATGGCTGAGTGGACTTTTATATTTTCTATTTTTTAGTGTAACTAAATAATAATTTGTAGTTTTCCTTCTTCATTTTTCAAAGTCCTTATAGCCGATGTATTGGTGTACATTCCTGCAGTCTTTGTCTTTTGTTTTGTCTGCTTGGGAAGGAAACCTGCTCTGAATAAGGTGAGAGTTCTTCCTCTTGGTCGAAAAGAAAACCTGAGTCATCAGTCATTTTCTTTTAAAAATAACATAGTTACCCCTTTCATGTAAATTTTAATATTTGTTAGTAAGTGTGAGATGAGTGGGAATCTAAATTTAATTTGATATGGTATAAATTTGTTAAATTCTACTTACTCTGATAGAATCGTGTACTAAAGGCATCCACGGTCGAGTATCGATCGATACCCTTGATCGATCCCTCACACGATCCCTCTGATGTGCCATTTATTTGATATCATAAATTTCTCAATTGAAGGGGTGCAAAGACAGAGGCCCTAAGTACAGTTCACGACTGTTAATATAATGTGAAACTCTCCTTATGTTTCACAAGGGAATATAAGTATCCCAGCACCTCTTAAATTATTAATTTTGTTGATACATTTCTCAGGTCCTGGTTACAGCTGCTATATTATTTTACCCTGGTCTTATTCTCATCGACCATGGTCACTTTCAGTATCCTTTGCCCATTATTCACTGATAACCATGTTGCCTTTGACAATGGCAGATCAATAAAACATGATTGTTTTATTTTCCTAGCGAAAGAAAAACTAGTAAAAAGAAACCTCTGTAAACGTGGGTGACTTTGGGTGCATTCCTTTGGGGTGATTTGAATCAGGATCAGCGATATTGATCCAAGATCGCTCAGATCATAGTACACCAAAGCAACTAGTGAATCCATTCTAGTCATGGATTCATTGGTTCCTTTGATGCACAATGATCTGAGTGATTTCAGATCACTGATCCTGCTCCAGATCATCCCAAAGGAATGCATGCTTTGTTTACATTCACCTCCTTAACTCTCAAATTCAGATACAATGTGATAAGCCTTGGTTTAGCACTGTGGGGAGTGATTGGACTAGCTTGCGATCATGATCTTCTGGGGTCAATTGCATTCACACTGGCTTTAAATTACAAGCAGATGGAGCTTTACCATGCTCTACCTTTCTTTTTCTATTTGTTAGGAAAATCATGGAAAGAAAATTCCTGGTAAAGTTGTAAATTAAAATGTAGATGCTAAGTCCTTTGTTAGTATCAGGGAGAGTTGAGGGCCCATTAACCGATCTTTTTGAGCCGTTGCTAGGGAAAATTTATTCTCATATAACCTCGTCATTTCTAGTTACTTCAGAGTTATTTCATGTGTTTTAACTTTTTCATGATCAGCAACACTAGTGATGATGTCATCAGGCAACGCCCATGGTCATGTGACTGATACTGAAAAAATGCAAAGGCTCCTAGGCAAATTACTTTATCGGAATTTTTTTCATTGATTTAATATTTTAATTTAAATACTCATTACGCTATGCATAGATTTCGTTTCATTTCTAAAAGGTCAGATTTTGAGAGAATTTCAAAGTATTAAAAAGTTTGTAATTTTCTGAAAAAAGCATGATTTTGAAAAAGGAATGCATAGCTATGTTTCCAATGTTGGTTTTAATTGAAATCCGTCCAAAATGGCTGGATTTAAGGAAAAACTGTGTTTCCTTTAGCATTTAAAGAAATCAGAAGTGTGCCCGATATATATTGGAAGTTACCCTATCAGTGCGTGCGCAATTTACACAACCAGTGCACTTCGGTAAGATCAAACAAAGCCACACGGAGTTAGTTTTTCTCTTTCTATTGCTCTTGTTTTTGTCTTTCTCTTATTTTGTCTTTGCTTGTACTTTTTTTACTTTGCATTTTGTGAAACACAAAGTAAAACATTTAAAATGTGAGTGAATTTGGAAGTGATTGAGTTATTTTTATTTTCTGCGCTCAGGCTGACGTAAGTAACTGGAAGTGAAATTTCACCTCCTTAGCAATGCGTGCGAGTGCACGCATAAATCGGTTAATGGGCCCTTAAATTGTCAACACTATATGATTATTAATAATAAGAAATTATTACTATTTGGGATGGGATGAGACTAAATATGATGGTTTCCCCATTGTCAGCTTGCCTAGATGAAGTTAGCACCACCCTTTCAATCCCAGGAGTGATCAAACTCTTTCCGATAGCAATACATGATCAGTCAAACAGGTTACAAGAAAAAAGAAAATCATCATCTTGTAATATTGTCTTGATCTACCAACTAATTCGTAGAATTGACATTGAAAGTACTGTTGGCTGACAGTAAAAAGAGTTAATCAATATTTTGAACTGAAAGGGTTTTAAAAGAGCTTAAATTGTGGCTAAAAGGGTCAAAACACATTCAGACGAGCCTTACATCTTGCCTTTAACATTGTGCAAAGAGGGAGACATGCTGAATTTTCACTCCGTACTCCCACAACAACATTTTAATTACTACTGGTAAATAAATAAAATATATTGAAAACTTTATACCTTGCAGCAGCAGCAGCAGATGAATTTGTTTCAATAATTATTGATCTTTTATTACTGTTTATCACAGGATTTCAAGAATTTTCAACATTGCTAAACTAGGGATTGTTGTTGTGGTAACATTCATATTGTGGTATGTATGACAATGTTTCTAGTCAGAATATTCTAAGTTCTCACTTACAATGTCAGCTCACATCCAATTTCTTTTTCAAGTTGGTTGCCATTCTTGACTGGATTACCAATGATTTTACAAGTTCTACACAGACTCTTTCCATTTGCTAGAGGTATTTTTGAGGTATGTAACTGTCAACTGAAAATTGTCTCTACTAGTCTATAATAATTGTACATGACCTGACAGTGTTTAAATTGAGTTCATTTATTTAATTCCATAAATTTTATAAGGTTTTAGATTTGCCAGCACAACTAAATCTGCCACAAAGCAAAAGAGAAGAAAGAAAACACTTTGTTTAAGAGCTCCCTGAATGTTAAACAAAAAGTGATGTCAGATGGTATTTAACATGTCTAAAGATGTAAATAAATGTGCTTTCATTCCATAGGACAAGGTGGCAAATATATGGTGCTCACTTTCTGTTCTAATTAAAGTTAAAAGAGTTCTTTCTCAAACACAGATTATAAAACTCAGGTAAACCTGTAAATTAAAGCAAACATTTTAAAACTGTTTGTAACATGTATTTTCATTTTAAATGATTTACTTTGAAAAAAGTAACTCAGGCTGAATGGCTGGGGGTCAACTTGAAAATCACTTGAACATCCATGTAGCAGGCTCAGTCCAGGTAAACTCCAACATGGATGAATTTGAATAGAATCGACATTCAGATAGTTTTTGGCCATGTTGTGATCATTTCCAGATTCCCATGAGCTTCATGTCTTAATTTCTGTTAATGTTTTGAGGATTGGTGGTGCCTAAGCGACACAAGAGAGGCACTGTGAGGGCAAAGTGTTTTGCCAATCAGAACATAACACTGGCACCCCAGGTGGGCCTTATTGGAACACTGGATTCTAAGTTGAATGCACTAACCATCGGACCACTGCAGCTTCTTCTTAATCTTTATAGTGGCCTGTTGTGATCTTCTTGAACTTATTTGGAGTTTGTATCGCCTGCGCCGCAGACACTACCTAGTAACACAACACAGGCTAAAGTTTGCAGACTATAAATCAAAATTAATGACTTGAACTACTAAATTCACAGTTAACGCTTACTATTTTTCTCTTTTCTCGTAGCACGTGGTCAACACTCACTGCTTGTTTGCCTTCTTCCTTGAATTTGTTAAAGAATCCAACAATAGATCGTTTTGTTTTGGCTCTGGTGAGGTTTTGGTTCATAGAAGAAGCATTATTACTTAGCCTATTCTAGACTGACTGAAAATAAGTTGGTAAACTGGATAATTTTAATTAATAGATCTTGGAATGACTAGTAAGAAAATTTACATGATCCAGTTCTTGTCACGAGTGAAAATACTCATTAACTGCAGTTGAGTTGACTTTTGCTAGTCAGTCACAACATTAGTCACAACATTAGTTTGGGTCTCCAAAAGAACAGATTCAAGGAGTTTCAATCTGTTAGAAAGAAACTGAATTGATCATATTAATTTTATAAATATAATAATTTATACGAATATATTCTGAATAATTGTATTCAGGGTACCATTTTACAACCTTAAATTAACTCTGACTAATTAATCGAGTGAACATTTTTTTGCACATTGTAACTAGTGTTTGTTGTATGTTTAAACTTATTACATGTAGGTGAATTCATCACTGGGTTTTTTCATCTTTTCGTATCAAGTCCATGAGAAATCAATCCTGCTGGCGGCACTGTAAGTATTATGATCTTACAATGTCAATTGAGTTCCCCTTCAATTTAAATGAACACCTGACATAACTCATTAACTTTCTTGAAGTCAGTAGTCAGAGTCACAGCCTGTGTGCAGGAGTGGAGTTAAAGCGGGGTGTATAGATTGGGTACCCCTATTGGAGAAGTGGAAAATAACACAAATTGAAAAAGATTGAGAATATTACAGCAGAAATAAAGGCAAACACTCTGGACAGGCACCTCATTGTAATTTTTGCTTGGTGGCATTACTAATGTTTCTGGGGTAACAGTTTTCAATTGGGATCCAATTCTCAAATTGCAGCATCTTTGGGCCATGCCCCATTGATTCTGGCACCCCAAGGTACCAGCCAACCCCTTAATTGAGAAATCCGTGATCAGATCGGCTTCTGGTACAGTATGTGCAATTAATTCCCAGCACTTCTATTTCCTCCCGAACAAGGCATGCACTCATAGTTTCTCATGGAGTTTTCTACTATACTGCTTAAATTAAATGATCATGAATATGATTTTACTCTATTTAGTCCTGTGTGCCTGTTGCTACACTACAAACCCTTTGAGTGTGTCTGGTTCTTAGTCATCTCCACTTTCAGGTTTGTTAATCACTTATTCATCATTTTCCTTACAAGTTCAATAAAGTTTTAATCAAACAGGTGGCATGACAAGTTAGAATAATCCATTATAAGGAATCATGAATTCTCCTTTGGGGTTGACTGACTGAAAAGGATAATGCGTTAGCCTGTTCCCTATACTTTTTTTGCTGTGCTTGTGATGCAGTATTGTCAAAGAATATCTGTGTAAGAGGCTAATCAAAATTATAACTTTATAGGTTTTCCCAAGAAGAGACTTACTAATAGACTTAATTGCTGTACCCAAATTTCCAATCAGCCAACCAGAAGCCATCTCCACTGCCTTGATGGCCTGTGATATAAAGTCCCTGAATTGATATGACTATAATGATAACATGGTCACTTGGCCCAATTTAGTTATAGTAAATATCTGATAGTACTTTCTTGGTATGCTGCAATACAATAATCTGGAACTAAATAAAATTTGTTTGTAGCATGTGGCCATTACTACTGAAGGATGGTCTGTCTCTACCCTACATTTCCTGTATGCTGTTGTTCTATGCCGTTGCTTATCACGTGTTTGATCTGGGGAGAACCAAGCCACTAAAACAAGCTTTGGTAAATATGTCACACACAGTTTTGTTGTTCACCTAAACTAAGGAAACAGTTTGCATCCACCTTGTCAAAGCCTAGCAAAGGTGCCAAATTGGAAAAAAAGGTCAACATGAAGCTTCTTCATACAACATTGACATTGACGGAAATTATTTCTTATTCATTCCCCTTTATTGAAATATTTAGAACCTGCCCTTTTAGTTATTACAGTAGGTTGCCAAACTTAAGAAAAAAAAAAGACAAAACAACAAAAATTGCACTGTATAGTTTACTTCCTTGTTTTCAATCTTTTTCAGTTTATTCTGTCAGTGATGGGAGCACTGGGTCTACATGCTGGATCAGCTATTGTTAAGCCTCCCAGTCAGTACCCAGACCTCTGGCCAGTGCTCATCTCAGTCTACTCCTGTGTCCATTTCTTAGCTTTTTTCTGTTATTTTAATTACATGCAGTTTACTTTACCATATGCTGTAATGTCTGTTGCAAGAAAAGAAAAGAAATCTTAAGTGGTTTTAAATTTAATATAATCATACGCAGAATGTGCGTGCTGTGCTCCACTTGTAATTTAACCATTTTTGCTTTGTTTTCGACTGATCGTGTTCTTCCTGATAACAATTTTCAATAAAGCTTTGACTATTGACATTTTCTACTTAACTGATATATCAGGTTTGGTGAATATCACTGATTAGAAAATTAATACCCTTTAGAGTGTAAGTTATTTTATAATAAGTTAATAATCCAAAAACAGAGAGAGCTGAAATGAAGTTCAACTTTAATGATTAAACAAATTAAATCTAGTATTCACAACTTTATCAGAGGGTGTAAAGGTGGCAGGGGTTCAGCAACAGAGTCCAGATCATGATTCATGGTAAAGAAATATTTATTTTACATTTCATTGTATTATTTGTGTTGAGTGACTTTAATTGGTGTTGCAAAGATCAAGGCCAATGTCCTTGTTTGTGGGGGCTGGGACATAGTGGAGTATGGGACTGCATGTCAGGGGAAATACAGTGGAACCACTACAGCAGCTGTAAACACCCAGGAGAAACCCTGAACAAGGTGGCAACTTGGAGCTATGACAAGTCTGCAGAGGTCTTGTCACTGAGACTCTGTTTTTGATGACAGATACCAAAGAGGCCTTAAGTTTCCCATGATGATACAAGGATAGATGATGATACAAGGATAGATGATGATGACAACTTTAATTAACATCTTTTACAAACCCAGGTTGACTTTACATCAGAATTCCAAAAGTAACTCTCCCAAAAAAACGTGTTCAGTTTGTAAAAGCTTGTTCTTTGTTATTTTCATTGTTTCTTTAAAAGTTACATTTTGAGATTGGTACCTTCAGAGTCATTACTTTAAGACTGTGCCATAGAGAATTTTGAGACTTTGCTAGCTAAAAAATGTAAAATTTTATCACTACCACTGGAGGACTGATACTTTCAGTCATTAATTTTTATGATTCATTACTTTGCCACTTGTACCTTAAGCTCTCCATAATTAGAGGGTAGAAAGGAGTGGTGGGGGAGGGAGGGCAAGGTCCCATTTCTCACATGAATTTTAACAAAATTCAAGTGTCATGTACACTTTCAACATCAATGTTTTCAGTCATTCACAAATCATATTCATCTTAGTCACTTTTCTTGTGTCACACTAACTTTTTAACCTCATCACATGTCACACAAATCTTTGCTATCCTCTAATAATTATGATAAACAAAAGAAGCTCAATTATGATACTGTTATAAAAAAAACAAAACAAAACAAAAAAACAGGAATTTGAGAACAGGAGTCGGAGAAATTCTCAGAACATGAGCTGCTGGCAAGTGTTTTCTGTGTTTCTTAAATTTGTTGTTAGACAGGAGATTTTGCGTAGAGGACATAGCTTTACGTGCATTACACTTTAAGTGCACAGAACAACAACACAGATTGCTTATGATTTGTACTCTGATCCAATATGCTATTTCAACAAGTCAGAGTGTGTGCAGAATGCAGTCTCTGTTATGAAAGTGAAATAAATGAGTATTTCAAATGAAATGTCTTGGTTGATCTCTGAATGGAGAAATCAAAAGCGTTACAACATTCAAACTGTAAAAATTTCAAATTTTTGCAGTTTGAATCTTGCCCCTTTTTAATTCTCAAAGTGACCAACATATTGACAGGTCATGAGGAAAAAAAAATCACAAGATATTATCTTAACATACAGTTAACACCCATATATAAGAATCCAGTGATTACAAACGTGTAGGCTAAAAGTTTCATATTTATATTCCCAATAAGAGTTCACCCATTGAGCCTACAAACTGAAAGAGGTTCGTATTAGCTGCAGCTAGTGTATTGAGCATTAAGAACCTGAAATAACTATGGATCTAAAGCAGGCAGTGTGCAGTTCATAACTATGACATATGTAGCGTTTCTTTTTAGACATAAAAATGTAACATTTCTCATAAAATTGAAGGGCTTGAAAAAGTGCTGTCCGGATGTCTGGGACAAGTAGATTTTCCTGCCAGGCAAGTAACATTTCATTCTCACTACCTTGCCTGATGGGCAAAGGCCCAGGCAAGTCATCTGCCAAATAAATCAAAATAAAAGTAAACTAAGACTTGCTCAGGGCAAGCAGAATTTGAGAGCTGCTTGTCTGAAGGGCAAGCTGGAAAAGGACAACACCTATTTGAATCAGTACAAGTGGCAAGCCCCTTCTCTTCTAAAAAGAACAACTTACAACCTATTTATTTTTAAGAATCTAAATAGCCTAAATTCTCAGTAGACAGGACATATACATAAAAAGTACATACAAGAACCTTTTTAGGGTAACCTGGAAAAAATATATTACTGGTTCTTGCTGGTGTCTGTTTTATAGTATTACAGTATGTGTCATTCTCAACAGTCTTTAGCACTACCCAAAGGGTCCTTTTCAAATGAAACTTGTAAAAACGTTTTGACAGAAGTTTCTTTGACTTTTTAAAAGAAGGTACATCTCAGTAGATTACTTATTAAATTAAAATTATTTATAGTAAGAACTGAGGGTGTCAAGTATAAATATTTTGGTTCTTTAAAGACGCTTTTTAGTTAAGTTAAGGACAAATTAAATAACTAGTATTTTGATAACGTTTTAAATACTACACTTATTAAAAGTACACCTACACTTCTAAGGCTATTAATATAACTTGGAAAAAGGAAAATACTGCTTTGCATCAAAATGTTATCTCTGGAATGGTACACATTTGATTATCCAACATTTTAATGTTAATTGTTTGAAGCTATTGTTCTCATGATAGCTAAATCATCCCATCATCAAACTCGGCAGTTCTGTATGTTGAATGTCACAATATCATGAGCAATTTCTACAAAAAGAAAAAAAAACAAATAAAATTCATGCATTAAAGAGTTATTTGGCGATGGATGGAGATGGAGATACAACCTGTATACATTCAGTGTCAATCAGAGATATGCAGATGAAAAACCGTTCAAAATGAATGTATAATGTTACCATTGGCCTAATCAACGTGCTGAGCAATGGCGATATATTTTTTTACAAGGTCAAAGGTTAAAAAATAATATATAATACATGTATATGTATGTCTACACATCAAGTACTGAAATATTATTCAATATTTGGCAAATTCAAAATTAATTAACCAGCTGTACATTGGAAGTTCACGATTTGGTAAATTGTCATTGAACACTGGGTCTGCCAATTGCAAATAAATTCATAGCCAGCCATCTATTGGAAGTTCAATAATTTGTTTTTTGGCCTGCACTGTAAAGTATTGAAAGTTGGCAATTCACTGTTTGGCATTTTGGTTTTGGCTTGGTTTTATGCAATTGATGAAAAACTGCTTTTGTAACATGTTGATCATTGATAAAATAATGATAACTTGATTGATGATAGTAATGGCAGATGCTACAAGGACATGTGAGCTAACCTTGTAGTTTATCTAGTGTCTGATTCTCCTCTTGTTGAAGAATCATGGCTTGAACTGCTACCCAATCTTCATTATCCAAAGGAGCAAGTGTAGCAGACCTCTGAAAATAAACAGGTCAAGAAAAACACAGATGGTTACCCAGCTTAAGGCCCAGTTCAAGCATAGAAATAACCCCACATGTGCCAAACCTAAATATATCCATATTTAAGTAATTAAACAGTTGATTTAGATGTCAAACCTGATTCTCAAAACTTCTAAAATAGCTAATTTGACACAAAATCTCAGCAGTAAAATTAAATAATTTATATTATGTTAATGTTTGTGTTAGATTCAACGTCAGAATCAAAGTCAAATGTTTGCTGTTCTATTCAGCTGCCACAGCTGGCAAAGTTGACCCAAATATAAATGTGTCAGTCATAACTGGTTCACAAGTCAAACTTTACATGTAAAGTTCGTTGTTTGAAATGGGCTTTAACATTCCACTCAAGAGACTTCAGAGATTTAAATAAAAAGATAATTAATATGTTACTATCTAAGATGTATGAAAGCTGCCATTCTAACTTAACTGGGGCTTCAATAAGGTTTTTCACAGGAGGGCATCATTACATGAGGGCAAAAAAAAAGAGAAAAATTACAAAAAGGGCAGAAAATCTGCAAAGGCTGGAGGGCCTTGCTAAGCTCTGGGTTCCAGGGAACATTCAACATTCAAGACTCAAAGTTTTATTCACATGAAACTCCACTTCCTCTTGACCTTTTTTCTCAGGTGGAGCAGAAAAATATTGTGTTATGTGCCCTGTCTCTGCTAGCCATCATTACAGGTGGATTTGCTTGTAACTTAAACACATCAAAACTGGGCTCTCATGCAGAACAAATTTTGTTATTGCAAGTTACAAGGGAAATAAAGTTTACTATAACCAACAAAATTGTGGTATCTTTGGCCTAAAGATAATAAGTTAGTCAACTATTTAGAGGACTGAGTTAGAAACATAAAAGAGCATGAGACAGCAGCAGTACTATATAAAATATCAATGAAGCAGCTGGGCAAAGATCTGTACAAGGATGGATAATTTACCTAGTTCAGTTGACCTAGCCCTTAATAAAAACCCTACAAGTTTACCTTTCCAGGAGTTATTTTCAGTGCCTTTAGAAGGTTTGTCCTTTCTACATTGTACTCAACCATCACATACCTGGCCAAAAAATAACTCATTACTAAATATATTAATTTTTATTAAATATGTACTTAAAAATTTAATATTTGAATCAGTTATATATGTCAATTAATTACATGATTGTATGACTTAAAACAAGACCACACATGACTGTTAGCCTTTTAGAACAAAAGATATGGGGATGGACCTTATAACTTAAAATGTCTTGAACTTAGACTAGTACAAACAAGAACCATTTTATAATAATTATTGTATTGTTTACATACATATTATTGATTGGTCACTATGGATCGGTAGTTTTGACTTTGTTGAAGCTCTTAATTAGGAACACACCCCCATTTTTGTACAGCTCATGTCTTTCATCACTCTTCAAGCTTCTTTTGGGTGATACCTTGTTCAATAATGATTGATGATTGAAAGGTCATTTGCAGTCTCTCATGGCTTGTCTTACCCACCCTCCTCTCCCAGGGTTTTTTCCTTCCTTCAGCCAAGTGTATTCTCAATTAAATTTGTTTTGTCCCAAACTCTTTTGCCATATCTCGTTTGTGTAAACAGTAACAAAAAGCAGGACATAAACAAACTTGTTTGCATTGATGATGCCTTCAATTCTTGACTTAACCGTCTTAATGACATCCTGCAAATTTAAAAAAAATTTATTAATAACACATTTTATAGTAAACCAGTTAGTTCTTAAAAAAAGACAACGCTTTTCAGTTTTAAATACATGTTTCGACGCTAACTTCTGTCATCGTCAGTCATAACTAGAATGTTAGTCAGCTGCTTTCAGTTCATTATGTCAGTACTAACATTGGTTCCAAAACAAGGTGCAATGTTTTCTAGCCAAATTAGAGTAAAATAATATCTTCCTTCTTCAACTATTGTAGTCAGGATTAAAATCACCTGGCACCATTGTGTGAGGGCTCTGCTGTTCTGTTTCTTTTGGATGTATTCAAGATTAATAATAATTTATCACACTTCCTGATGCATGTGTACATGTAGCAAATTTTGATAACGATAAAGTAAACTTCGTGTTCAAGCCTTACAGTGGTCAATCAGGTCAGAGCTTATTTTCTCCTTTCCACCGTATGAAAAATTAGTGGAATATTTTTACTCCCCCCTAGATAGAATGCTAGTCCATTGTAGGTCTACCCGCAGCATTAACTTTAATTTTATCATCATCATCAATTCCAGTTTCCCAAATAGGAAATAGGACCTTCAGTTCTTAATTTATCTGTACCTGTTAAAACACATACAGTAGGTGGAGAGAGGCACTATAAGAAGAGTTGTGTCACAATGAACCAGGCCAGGGTTTGAACCCAGACCACTTGATATAGGGTCTAGTGAACTTAACCATATGACAATCATACCTTCCTAGCTGGACACACATACCTGGAAGTCAGTGTTAGGGTTTGCAATGAGCACAGCCTGTAAACAAAATGTGAGAATTGCCAAAGAGGAATTAATAATAATTCAAGGACCTTTGCATACATGTACCAAGAGACAACTTCTGCCTATTTATCACAGAACAGGTTTTTTTGCAACAGCTGTCACAGATAGAAATCTGGAATTTTGGAGGAAATATTAATATCAGGAAAAGACAGAGCATAGAGAAATAAGCTATCATACAAATCTTTAGGCCTTAACTTAAAAGGTGGCAACTGACTGTATGTGGCTGTATGAAATTGGAACGATTTATTTGGGAAGAACAAGCCTTGACATAATTTTATAGTCATGCTTGCCGGTGTTTCTCCTTACAAATCCTGGGTCATGTGTACTAAAGGTATCCGTGGTTGAGTGTAAATCAATACCCTCGATTGATACCCTTGATCAACCCTCGATCGACACTCCATCAACACCTCGGTTGACACTAGATTGACTATCCATCAACATCTCGGTTGACAGTTGGTCAAGAGTCGACTAATTTTTGATCGATTCATGAGTCAGCCAACTATCGAGTGACTGTTGATCAAGTGTTGATAGAGTGTCGACTGAGACTTGATTGGGATGTCGATCCAGTATTGGTCTAGATGTCAATCAAGGGTACCGATTGAGAGTATCAATCGACACTTGACAGCAGGTGCCTTTAGTACACATGATCCCAAATCCTTGTAAAATTATAGATTAAAGAAGTAAACTGCACCTCTGTCTCCAAAATGTCAGCTACCACTTCTAAACCTGCTGCTCGCATAGTGTCCCCTGTTTCAACAAGATCAACTGAAGAAAAAAACCTGATCAGCTCCTCAATAATTTGATACAAATGTACAGGTTCAGAAAATATAACTTGAAAATATTTAAGCTATGCTTTTTTTAAAATTGCTTTACTAAATAAAAGGATTTGGCTAAAATAGAGTAGAAATGCTGTTGAGATCAAAGAAATTACACAAGACCAAAAATTAGGAAAGAGGTGATTTTTCTGCCAGCCATTAGGAATGAACAAAACAGAAAACCTTATTGTCACCCAGGACTAGGAGTAGGGGTTCTACTTGAGTATGTAACAATTTTCAGGCCACATTGCTGTGTGGTTCTGCTAGGCGTGGCTCTCAGTTGTGTGTGAAGAAAAAGGTTGGCAGCCTGAATATTACTTACCAATGCCATCAGCAACTCCAAGGCTGCAAGCAACCTGAGAGGTAATCAAAGAAAATTTGACCAAATGTGCAGTTATTTGAATTTGAAACACAAAGAAAGCCTTGGACTTGCACTTCAGCACACAGGCAGCCCAAGCTCACAATGTGAGGAGTGTTTTTTTTTTAATCTTTATGCGAACGTTCAGGGCGCGAAACGTGACACAGTTACCGCCGACATCTACTATTACATAACAACCGAGTTTGGTTACGCGAAACGTGACCTTCGCCTTGCAGTATGTGGTGGTGTTGTGTTACAACGGTTTGAATTTATAAAGGTTTGTAAAGGGAAAAACGGTAATCGACATTATAGCTGAAATTTTGGTATTTTTGCAATAAAAATGACTCACCTCAATGTCTTGTTGTCTTTTCTATTGTCATCTCGCTTCTCAGCTCGATCCGAAGCCTTTTAAGCAAGTTGTCGCTTTTTGGTTTTCCTCTACTAAGAAAGAGTAA